AATGAATGGCTAAAACCAACTAGTTCATGCAAATGCTGTTTTATAGTAATGATTTACACCACATTCAATGTTACAGCAATATCTCACTATTTATGCTGGCAGCATCTGCATAAAATCACGACAATTCAAAGATGCAAAAAGAAAAAAATGACCGAAAGACCAAAGATCTGAAATGTGTCAGCAATCAGCTTTGGAAGTGGGGTCCTTTAGAGTATCTCAGGCAACTGAAACTGCAAATCCAAATAGAGTTTTCCAGACAATCCTGTGTGTATGACTGCCATTTTAAAATGACACATTTTCATATTTTACAGCATTTATTAATATGTTATTCAAGGCATATTCAAAATTCAGTAGAATTAACATTTTGTGAACATTTTGGCAGAAATACCAGTACGTGTTTCCCCATACTTAATCCCTGGATGCAAAGTTTTAAAGCTGCTTGTGATGCTCGCCGCGGGAAATAATCATATAATCCGTTGTAATCAACCTTTAAATGTAACTCTGACATCTCTTTGGGGGACTGAACAGAACATATCCATTTATCCTCTTCATTCACACCGTCACCCAGCAACTGTAAACGTCTACTTCCTGATTACTGGTTACCTGCCACTACATCAGTGAGAATTTGGCCTCTGAAAAGCATCACAGGATAGACCAAACTGGCGTTTGACTACTGGCGGTTTTCCATCATGACAGGAGTCCTTAAATTACTAGAACACTTTGACACAGACTTGGTATATTTTCCACCCACAGAGTCATTAACATTGACATTTTTGGTCAGAGTGTTGGAGAGGAGTCAAAATAAATTTCCCATAAGTGGATGTCAAAAATGCATGTCATTCTGTTGAAATCAGCCAAAACCATTAAGTTTTTAATTTTTAAAATTTTTTTTTGTGTGAGTGTGATTAAAACAGATGTGTATCACAATAATAGGGGTTCAATAATGGAACAATTTAGAAGAAGAAATCAAAGTAAGTACAAATATAAATGTGTTTAAAATGAATTATAAAAAAACATATTCTGAACAAGTATATAGTGGAAAATCGATGATTTATGTGGGTGTCCTTTATACTAAGGAAAAGTAAATTGTATCAATTGTAAAAAGATGTGCTTTTTTTTCTTTTTTTTTTGTTTTTTTTCCATATGGTTTGGTGGGTTTTTTTTTTTTGGTGACTTGTACCATTTTGTTTGTTTTAATGTAGGTTTTGTGTTAGATTTAGTAAACAAGTAAAAATTACTTGTATAAAGGGGTAGGGACATATAAGTTTCCACTTCAGCCTACTCCTTTTCAAACAGAGAAGGGATGATGATATGTATTTTTTCTGTTTGTGGTATTTAAAAAAAATTATGTATGTTTTCTTTGTTTGAAATAAACTAAACTAAACTAAAAAGCTAAAAGTGTGACTGTTTGTTTGTTTGTCATACTGACATCACGCTTTACTGGAAAAAGCAGATGGCCACAAAAGAAACATTAACCTGGGAGCCACATTCTCAAAAGAAACACCGCCTTTATTCCTTGAAGCTTTGAGACCCTGCCACTGAGTCCCCGCTTTTAGTGATACCTTGTTCTTCATCTCTATTATATTATCTCTAAAGGTCAACATGTGACTTATTTTTATTTATTTTTGTTTTACTGGAACTCCACTTTTCTGACACGAAAGAAGTGACATGAGAGGAAACGTACGCCCCATTGTGTCGGTGTATGCAAGTGTCAGATCGAACCGCATGAGTGTGCGGCGCTCAGGTGTTATTAAGGCACGAGTGAAAGGTGAGCCATTACAAACCACCAGGCGACCCTGTTGCCATGGTAGCACAAATGTAAGTGCCAGACAGTCTTTCTGAGTCTCTGAAAGTTAAAAGCAACAGGGATTTATTTATATATTTTTTGACTAAAAGCCTTTCAGGTCAAGAAAAGAGCAGACTTAAAAAATGTCTTCAGATGGAGTGAGAGGAGAACTTTAAGGTCCAATGTTAAGTTTCCTCTTTCACAAAGTGAATCTTCTTCCACAGGTTGACGTGAGGATGACAAGTGAGAGATCCTGATAGAGCTGTGCCAAAGCCCTGTTGTGACTGATGAAGTGGAGTCACTGAAATGCTCTCTGATCCAGTTTTACTGGAGTTTGTTTGCACTTATAAATGATCCAACCTGGGACAGGAACAAAATGAGGTGGGAGGAACAAATGGATATGCAGATCTAGCGAAGGGACGAGGGAAAGGGAGGCCTTTGGGGGATTTGTAAACACACAAACAAAGCATAGAGATTGTTTGAGGAAACTGGGATGGTAAATCAGAGTGGCTACAGAGGCAAAAAAAAGGCAAAGTCATGAAAGGGATGCATGAATACACAAGAGGCAAATGCACAAAGATTAAGCAGAAGATGAGTGTTTATTAGTGACAACACTCAGACTGCAAAGAATATGTGAGTGCTTGTGTTATAGTACGTAAAGATTGATCTATTTGAGGAGATTATGAAAAACTGTGAAACAAAAACCACAATAAAAGAAAAACACCTCAGTATGGCAACCTTAATAACAACTATTATTTAAATGACTCTTTTTCTGACAAAGCAGCTCATCCCCAGTGTACCTTGTTGTATCTAGGACATAGACAGATTATGGTCTGGGGTCCTGAAGCTGCCCATGAATCATCAGATTGAAACACTAACAAACAAATAAACAAAAAACTGCTTGAAAAATTCAACCAGTTCTTTATCTGATAATCTGGTAATGCTTCATTTTACAGTCCCCTAATTAATAAGTGCTTGCATGGTAATTACATAGTAAGTAAAAGTGTATTATTGTTTCTGAGTTCTTAAACAGTTATTACCATGTAACTCAGATTCAGTTCTAGTTTTTATTTTTATTAATCATTCCCAGTAATTAGTGCTTTACACAATACATACTATTTATTATAATTATACACTTTAATTACACAATAATTCACTTTAACTTACCATGTAATTACCATGTAAGTATTTTGTAATTAGGGGACTGTAAAAGGAAGTGTTACCAACAATACGGAGGAAAACTGACTGTACCATCCTTTTAGAAGTTGACAGAATGCTGTCTATGTTTTTTTTAACTAAAATGAGAATAAAACATTGATGTTTCTCTGATTTGGAAGGCCAACAGTTCATTGACAGAGAAAATGTCTTTGAAAAGAGGAAATATTAATCCAATATGACTATTCACTTTCGAGACCAGGGCTAGTGTCTAAATTAAATGCCAATTAAATGCCATGAAAAAGTGATGTATAAAGGTACAGTCCCATTAGTCATCACACACTAGTTAAATTCATCCTTGCATTTGACCCACCCCTGTGGGGAGCGGTGAGTTGCAGCTGTAGTCGCGCTAGGGAACTATCTGGTAATTTAACCCCCCAATCCAACCCCTTCAAAGCTGAGTGTCAAACAGGGAGGCATTGGGTCCCATTTTTTAAAGTTTTAGTATGACTCGACCAAGATTTAAACCCAGATCTCCCAGTCCCAGGATGAACACTCTACCACTAGGCCACTGAGAGAATAGGGAGCCTAAGTCTCCTTCCTTTCCAGTTGGCTCATGGGTCCCCGGAAGAACAAAAAAATAAATGAAAGTCAACGGGGCAAAAAAGGCAAATTTCTAATCCACTTTGCCTTAGACCCTGGATCACACAATTGTTATACTGCAATTTAAATCAAAACTAATGATAGGTATTTCGACCATTCCTGTCACATACTTAGAGATTTATAAGCTTGTAAAAGTTCGTAATTAGCATGACTATAAATTAGACATCAGCACGTTGCATATATGACGTCACCCCAGAATCTCTTTCCATCTAGAATAGCTGCTACTTACCAAATGGCCAGATTTATGGTGGTTTTCCCCTCCTGAAGGAAGGATTTTAAGTGCACTAAACTTACAGCCATTTCCCCTCTGTTTTTCTCAGTGTCTGGTTGTCATCATCTGCCCCTGCCCTTGATTAGCCCCTATTGGTTTTACCTGTCCCTTGTTAACCTGCCCAAGTGTTCCTGATTTTCCCCAGTGTTTTTATACCTCCCGTCTCGTTATGTCCTTTGTCAGATCATTGTGGTTTGGTTGTCATCGTTGTCTCGTGCTGTTCGTTCCCGCTCTACCATTAAATAATTTTTTTCTTTATCCATGCCTGCCTTTTGGGCTCCCGGTCAGCTCCACCACACATGGTCCGCCTCCAACTACTCCGCAACGTGACACTGGTTCGTGATGCGCATTTGTAGTCCTGGACTTATTTTCACATAAAATCTAAAATAACGTTTCTCCTCATTTGAAAATAAGTGCATTCTTGGTATCAAAATGCATATTTAAAATTCATGGACATCATATGTAAAATCCATGGCACATAACAAGTGGAATTAGAAAATAGCGTTTTTAGCCCCATTGAATTGCATTATTTTTTCGTTCTTCCAGGGACCCATGGTCTAGAAGTAGATGGGCGTGACTTAGGGTCCCTATAGTTTTACAAAGCAAACAACATTCTACCAAGACCACAACATTTTGCTACAAGTCATGCAAGCAAAACAAATGTAGCTTTTCTCTGAATGAGCACTTTTGCAGATGATATGATGCTATATATGATAGATGCAGGACAAAAAATGTGCCCTTCAGTTAGATTTAAAAAATGTTCAATCACATTTTATTAAAATGACCCTATCATTATTAATAAAATAAAACAGGCTCTGCAGGTCCTTGGGCTTCCTGAAATCTATAACCGGCATCTAAGATGTTTAATCAACACCCTATTATTCCCAATCTTTGTTTCCTTTTTAAGAAAGCTGCTAATCTTATAAATGACACTCAATCCATTAGTAGCCATAAACTGAGCAAGACCAAGTTCTTCTGAAATAGATGGAAATAACTAAACAGTTTACAAAGTTATATCTTGTAGTTGGTGTCCTATTGCGGTCCTCTAATTGACATTCAAACACTTTACAAATAAGACAAGTTAATTCTACACCTCAAAGACAATAGAGGAATTAAACTACTCACCCATTCGGACGGCAGAGAGGGTGTTGGCCTGGCTGAAGGAGAGCGGTGCCATAGTCAGAAGCAGGACGGCAACATAAATCGACAGCAGCAGTGCTGGCAGAGCCGGCATCTTCCACTGCTCCTCATGGAGAATGGTCTGCTGGCTGCCTGTACCGCCACCTTCAAAACAGACAGAGGAGCATCACTACTGGGGCATACATCACTGTTCATGTTTTACTACATATCACTTAAAACAATGATGTCACACACTTCATTTACTGAATCATTGATTATGAATGTGGACTGTAAAAAATACCCTTTTGGACTAACAGTGTGTAGAAGAAAGGTTTGACACAAAGTATTAAAAGATTAAAAGGGAAAAGGTTTGAAGACTTTCACCAATAAAGTTCCATAAAATAATGTTGCACAGAAAAAGATCTTTAAAATGTTGGACCTTACAAATTTGAAAAAGAAAAGATCACAAATGCTCAAAATGCATCAAAGTTAATGACTTAAAATTATAATTTCATTTGTTTAACTTCTAAAGATTAGATTTCCAATCTGGAAGTAAACCTCAACATGATAACATCATGCAACTTGTTGATTTTTCTCTTTTCTAAAATGTTAAGAACCAATTAAAAACCTTTTAAAAAAATAAAAATACGATTCAAGTGGAAATTAAAAGTCAACAGGAGAATTTCTCTAACATTTCCCTTTGAATCACACATAAATGCAATCCCCAAACTGTCATTTGCACTGAAATAAAAGAGAACACATCCCATTTTTGAAGAGCCAAGAGCCACTGATTCTGGAGAGTGCCCAAACAGCTGTGTCCCCAGAATGAACCTCAAGTTTGCCAACAACCACAAAAACAAAATGAATAAATGCAACAGCAGAGGAAAATGAGACAACAACAAACAATATGAAAGGAAACAAGCGGACGTTTGGAGAAACTGATGGAAATGTGCGTTTGGAAGAGACTAAGAGAGTGACAGGGTTCAAGAAAAAGGCAAATTAAAAGTCAGGGAGTTATCAGACATGGAAAATAGGACAGATATGTGATGCGGAGCAGAGACAGGAAATTAGAAATGGCTGCAGGTGGAAAAAAACAAATAATGACAACAATTAATTAGCGTATTTCCTGTAGGGAATGCTATCATGTCAGCAGGCAAACAGTGCCAATGGGTCTTTGCTGATACAAACCACCCTCACAGTTCACTGCAGCAGCTCGTGGGCTAATCACAGCCGCAACTCTATTAGCCGTTTTCAGTCCAATCTCATTTCACATTGGAGGCGTTTAGCTGACACACATTCACAGCGATTTACATGGAGTGCTAACCATTAGACTTTAAAGCCTCTCTTCATCAACTTCACCAGAGAAGATGGTGCGGGTCATGGCAGTGGTAATAAAAACCGAGCATGTTCTTCAGGAAAAGGATTTATTAATATGTATGAGGAGCAGGAAGAACAAGATGAATCTGAGTTGTGTTACATATGCAACACCCCATGTACCCAATGAAAGAGCAATTCATGGGTTTAACAATTAAGAGTTTTTATATATTTTAATTGATAAAACCACCAACAATAAATGATCAAGTCATACTGCTGACACACCACGCATTTATGAAATATGAACTAAGCTAAAAAGGAAATCATGAATGTTATTGGAGAAACTATGGAATAAACTAAAGTAGGACAGGAAGCAGCAAGAGACCACGTCCAGAGAGGAGCTGATTACCCAAAGATGCTAGCCTGGCAAGCCAGATTAAATAAATGTATTATTTAGTCTAGCCACGCTCCATTGACGGCTCCCGGTTGTGGGGCGGGTTCTACCGTTGTCTTTCAAATGATCTCCGCATTCCACTGGACAATGAATGTGACATACTCTTGTTTCACTCTGTTGCATCATCCCACCCACCAGGCATATAGAGTGCCCTGATTGGCCCACAAAGCGGATTAAGCTCTGTGATTTGTTCACTAAGCAGATAGAGCACTATGATTGGCCCACCATTATGGACCAATCACAGCTCTTTATGTGTTTGAATCCCCTCTAGAGAGCTGTGATTGGCTAGCCAGAGTCCTGGTAGGAGCTGCTGAGGTTCCAATGGAGCATGCCTAGACCAAACTTTGCAAAGCAAGAATTTGGTCTAGTTCACTAGGCTACAAAGATGCTACAGGAAAATGAGCCAAACTTTGGGATAAACTACAACATTTAAATTAAATAAAAAGTTTTGATTTTCTTTTTAAATGTAAATGTTTTTATGCCATGGGTTCACGTCTGATTATGTCATTTAGCAAGAAATGTTTTTTAAGTGAATAAAGCATGCATTTAATGAGAACACACTCCATAACAGCTTTCATTTATGTTTCCCATTCACTGTAAATCCACACAATTTTTCTTATTCAATTCAATTCAATTCAAAAATACTTCATTAATCCCAGAGCGAAATCGATTGCTGTAGTAGCTCAGAATAATAATAATAATCAAGTCATCAAAAAGTTATTGTATATTACAATGGCTGTTGGCAGGAAGGATCTCCAGTAGCGGTCAGTGTTGCAGCGAAACTGAAGAAGCCTCTGACTGAAGACACTCTTCCGTTGTCGGACAGTCTTGAGAAGAGAATGCTCAGGGTTGTCCATAATTTTCTTGATTCCCTGGAGAATCCTTCTTTGCATTATCTCCTCCATTGGTTCCACAGTCGTCCCCAGAACAGAACCAGCCTTTTATATTAGGCTGTTGAGCCTTTTCAGGTCCCTGCAGGACCTGAAAAGGCTCATATTATATATATATATATATATATATATATATATATATATATATATATATATATATATATATATATATATATATATATATACACACATACATATATATATATATATATATATATATATATATATATATATATACACATACATATATATATATATATATATATATATATATATATATATATACACATACATATATATAATTCATATGTACACTCATATACTCATTTATATATATTTAGATATTATTCATATGTATATCCCCCGACAAAGCGTTTTCCTTTCCTTTCCTTTTCTATTCTATTCTATTCTATTCTATTCTATTCTATTCTATTCTATTCAAACTAAAAGAAGAATGCAGTTGTCTCTGCTGCAGATCCTCATGAATTCATTACATGCTGAGATTTCTGCTGTCCACACAGACAAGCATCTGCCCAAAATGTTGCGTTCAAATAAAACATGTAAATAATCAAAGGCATTGAGGACAGGAACACAATGTTTCATTGGACCACTTCAGGCTTTTTAAAATGTGATAAATATGTTTAATTATAAAACTCTGACAAAGACCCCAGGAGATGAATGTTGATTTGGCCACTACAGTCAAGTTTCACTGATGAACAACCCAATCATCCTGATTTGCTACACTGGTCAACAGTAAATATCAGATTTATAAAAAAAAATATATATATATATACACTGATATCAATGACACAAATAAAAACAGAAATATTTTGGGAAATTTACGTTTCTGTTTTTATGGAGTTCTTACCATTCTAACCTACACTGTAAAATGAGAGATGTTGAATTAACTTAACCAAATTATTGAACTGCTTCCACTAAACCTAGTTGATTAGATGTAAAGATATTCAATTCAATTCAAGTTTATTTATATAGCGCCAAATCACAACAAGAGTCGTCTGAAGGTACTTCACATAATAAACATTCTAATACAGGTCATCTCATTAGGCCAATAAGAAAAAAAGTTTCCTATATAAGGAACCCAGCAAATTGCATCAAGTCACTGACTAGTGTCCTTCTTTACAGCAATCCTCATACTAAGCAAGCATTTAGTGACAGTGGAGAGGAAAACTCCCTTTTAACAGGAAGAAACCTCCAGAGGATCCTGGCTCAGTACAAGCAGCCATCCACACTGGGGATCGAGAAGACAGAGCAGACACACACACACACACACACACACACACACACACACACACACACACACACACACACACACACACACACACACACACACACACACACACACACTCACACACACACACACACACACACACACACACACACACACACACACACACACACACACACACACACACACACACACACACACACACACACACACACACACACACACACACACACGCTGCATATATACCAAGAAGTGTGTCTATGGTTACATTGTGATTTCTTAGTAAATATTCTATTTGGTGAGAGATAAACGTTATTATATTTATCCTAGTGAATCTATAATTAAACGGGTAAACTAGTAGTAGCACATTCAATGTAAAAGAAAGTAAGATGTTATAATATCAGGAGAGGGAGAATGTTTAAGTGGTTAGCAGCAGTGTTCAAGCCGATGGCCCCCTCCATGAGTTCACCAATGCTCAGCATAACATCATTGTAGCTATATAAAGATATACATTGCTATACATTGTAAATGTATATTACTCTTTATATGTAAAGTGGAACCAGTTCAATATCTTGTTTAAGTGTAGCATTCATGGTTTGTGGTGTCTGGAAGGAATCCAACTTGCAGCCCAATAATTATAATTTTAATGGATGAGTTTAAAAATGAATGCTTTAGATCTGCAAATGAAATAATTAATGGTTTTTTTTCACTACTCCAAACCTTACCATTGATCTGGGCTGAATGAAAGCCAGGGCAAGTGTGTGTTCATGCATTGATGTAACATTTTAAGTCGGGATACAGAGGAGTGAACATTTACTAATTTACCTGCAGAACCAAGGGGGACTGAATTGGGTCAACTATGAATGCTTAGGGGTGGAGAGGGGCCTACGGCAGCAGCTGCTTGTTGAGAAGCTTTAGAATTAGAGTGTCATTTACTAAAAGTCTCCTGTAACACCCAAATGCACAAGAAAATGAAACAGGCTAGATATGTCATTAACTGTTTTTTTTTGAAAAGTGCTTAAGGGTGGGAATACACCGTCTGAGGCTTCAGACAAAAACAATCTGGAAACAATCTGGACTTCTGTGGGAGTAAGCTTTACTTCTCCTTTTATTATCACTATATTATCTTCTGAATATGTTTTCTGATGCAGTAAAAGCTAAACAGAAGCAAAAAGACTCAGAATTAAGCACCTTGTCTGTCGGGTAATGGCCCTTATTGCTCACCTAAATATAGGATATTAGTTTTCTTTTCCTTCAGGGG